TTTAATTTTAGTTTGACTTGGCTTCTTTATACTTTTGATTTGTTTGTTTTTATCCCTTCAACTTTGTCTTACATCACTTTCTATATAATTAAGGATAGCTATATTGTAACACACTGTTTTTAAAGTATATCTTTATTTAGAGTGTTTGTAAGAATTTTAATTAATAAAAAAAATTAGATTTTTTTCTTCAACTTCTTAACTGTTTTAATTTTTATTTATTATATTTTATTTAATTAAATTTTAATGTTTTCAAAAAAAAATTATCTGTAACTAAAAATAATACTATATATCAATATAAATTATTAAATAAATATAAAATATAACTTATACTATGTTTTAAAAAATATTTATACAAATTTTAAATGAATATAGTTTATATATTTAAATATTATATTTATTTTTGTATAATTGATTATAACTTTTGTTATATATAATAAAATTTAGCTTGTGCAATGCACAAGTTAAAAATCTTGTTCTTTTAATTGGAGGTTTGAGATATACCATGTCTTTCTCGTATTTTTCTTCATTATCTTATTTCTTTGTAAGTTTTCGTGTTTTTCTTTGATAAAAGAACTTCCTAGTTTTGATACTTCAACCATTGATGAAAAATCTATTATATGATAGGACTCGCGTATCACGCAGCTAGGTCCTTGAGAATAGTATTATATTACACGTTTCATGATAAATATTTTGGTTCCTCATTATAAAAGTTCATAAATAAGAGATGAATTGCTATTTGTGATTAATAGTGAAGATAAACAATGTGTATAACATTTATTACTCTGAAGTATCTAATAACTTATTTGATTAGACTAGTGGTGGAAAAAGGACATGTCAAGCTTTGGTAGAACTAAATTTGGCTTACAACAAAATTACTAAGAAGAAACATATTTTACTACTTCAATGTTAGAATCTGTCAATTACTAAATCTAAATCTGAATTGTTTATCTATTACAGATCATTTTTTAAGTTGTAACCTAAAAACTTATTTATGTAATCTATTTTATACGATGTAAATAGTTCAATAAATTTGTAGTAAAAAATAAGCTAATAGATCTAAGTATTAAATAGGAGCAACAAATGGATAAATTAAATAAATTTTTAAATATATCTTCATTAATTTATTAAATTATGCATAAAAATACAATTCATCCAATTCATTTTAAAAAAAAAATCCAATCTATCTATAAATTATTTTTTCAAGGATAGATGTCCAATTCATCCATAAAGTAATATTTTAAAAATTAAATAATATTTATGTTAAAAATATTTTATTTATCTCTATCTCTTTTATAAGTCATTATATTATTATATAGTCTTTTAAAATTTTTAAGATTTTTTTATGTCAAAATATTCTTTTAAAATTTAAACCTAATAAACATCTCATATTATAATTCAATGAATTTTAAAAAAGTAGTAGATTGATTAATAACTATCCAAAAAATTAAATGGATAATTTGGATCTATCTATTATTTATTGTAATTAATGAATTTGATGAATTTATTTATAAATGGATCGAATAGATAATATATAAATGAATTTCTTTGCCACATTTAGTATTAAATATGTTATTATTAATAATTATCTATATTAAATATGAAATATTAATTATAAATTTATATAATATTTAATATTTTTTTTTATATTTTAAATAGGGGAGCCTATCAAACTTACTAGTTTTTTTAAAGGATTATTTTAGTTAAAAAAGACTTTTTAAAATGTTGAATCTTAAGTGTTTTTACCTTTTTAATAAACAGACTTAATCAAAATTATAAGGCAATCTTGGTGATATGAGAGAGGAGATATAAAACTAGAGTGATAAGAATGAATTTTCCAACTAACCATAACTTATTGATTATAAATATTTATTGATAATATAACAATAATTACTAACATTTATTAGTAATATATATATATATATATATATATATGGGTTATAATAATACTAGTGTAATTTATATTAAGTATTATACCGTTTAATAACTTATATTGAATGTAAATTTTATAAATTTAATCGTTAA